TGCTTTGCCCCAGGCCCCCTGAATCCTCTGGGCGGCCCTGTCTGTGTGTGTTAATGGTTGAGTCCTGAGCATGTGTATGAGACCTTTACTCTCTGGTTAGTGCCTGACAAAAGGCTCTTTCACACCCACAAGGCAGCTATGAAGGGTGTTTTGCTGGGCATACTGATGGTTTCCTTTTTTCCCACCCCCATGCTTGCATTCTAAGTGACTGTATTTTCCATAAGATCCCTCTCCCTGCTCAGCTTACCTGCAGCTACAGGCGATTCTTTTCACCACAACAGTGAGTGGAAGAAGTGACTAGCTCCTCAGACTGTATGTCTGCACTAAAGTGGGCTGCTGTGGGAGTGTTAACTACACCACACCCCATCCTGAGGACTCCAAGTATTGCCTCAGATGCTCCCAATTCATAGGAGAGCACTCCAGGGAAGCCTCAAATCTGAGTCTCCTGCACATCCCACCTGGTCCTCTTAAGAAATGTGGAAGCAGTAAAGAGGATTAAACCTCAGATTTTACTGGCCCAAAGGTGGAAAGTATCCTTCTCCCCACCCATCTGGAGATGCTCTGCAACTGTTTTGAGTTCCCGAGTTCCGGTTATGGCAGCAGGTCCAGTAGATGCAGTTGTACACATCCTAACTGATAAATGCTTGGCAGACGTTATGTGAGTTGAATGCATTGGAACTGCTGCTCTTCTGGCTCAGAAGCATTTCAGCACCATGTGGAATCACTTATTCTTCCTTATTTAATATGCGAGTCAGATGTGCTATCATATACACAATACAGGGACCGGGGTCTACGCTCCAAGGCAATAAACAATTGATATGACTGATGGCCAAAGCACTCTATATATGTGTGACTGGGCTACATCTCTTCCTGGCCTGGCTTTAAGTAACAAAGCTAAGTGGGAATTGCTGCTTTTCTACTGGTTAAGTTTTGAAAAGGGAGAAAAGCTTTCGCTCCACGTAGTACTCTGTAGATTCAGTGCTTTTCTCTGGATGGGGGGCTTGTGTGCGTGGCATTTCCCATTCCCTCACGGGTGATGGTCATAAATGCTGAAAAGGGATTTTGATTGGACCACTTGCTGCCAGTGTCAATGTCAGAGCTTGTTGACCCAGTGGCTGCAGTTCTCAAATGTGTTAAAATTCCTTTGGTTAAATACTGGTGTCTTGTATGCAAGATGGAAGTTGATACATCATCTGCCTCTGTTCTGTCAAATCCTTTCTCAAATCCCAACAATCTTCTTCCCTTTTCATTTCAAGACTCTTGTATCTTCTCAAACCCCAAGTGCTCTGTTTTGCTTCACATTCTCATTTATACGGTAAACTGTTCTGGGGGAGGGAACATGCCCTAAGATTGTAAAGCGCCATGTATATGCTCTATCACTACTAGTCCAGTAGGATCTTAGGGCACTTTAAATATTAAAATAAACCTGGCAACCTCCTGGTGACATCCCTGGTTAGAGATGGGGAAACTGAGGCATAGATCGAAAACAACCCTCCAGCAAAATATAACTGAGTTGTCCTAACGTGGTCCCTTGCTCTAATAACAACACGTCATTTCGGCACTAAATGAATGTACCATTTGATTCAGTTGGCCCCCTCTCCCAGTCAAGCAGTGTCTCAAATGACTACTTTTTCTATAGTATTCTGGCTGCCCTAGGAGTCTTCAAAAAGCTGATCTTAATGACACTTTTCCAGGTCGAACCTAGTCATCAGATGATGTGAGCAGGGCTGGGCCTGCTCATAACAGTTTTAATATTTTAATGGAAAACTGGACAACTCAACATCTTCAGTTGTTTCTCAAAGGGTCACAGCCAAAATACGCATCCAACTTCTGGCTTGCAACGCAGATGTTATTTTACATCCTGTTTGGATCAGAACCTCCAGTCCTCTTTCCTTGCGGCTTTTGATTTTTCCCATCTCCCCGCTCCTCCTCCTGTTAATTCACATGGCAGCAGCAGAACTCTGAATAGGGCGACCAGACAGCAAATGTGAAAAATCAGGACGGGAGAGGGGGGTAATAGGAGCCTATCTAAGAAAAAGACCCCAAAATCAGGACTGTCCCTATAAAATCGGGACCTCTGGTCACCCTAACTCTGAACCATATGAATCCACCCATTTCAAGCACGGTCTCTTTGGTAGGATGGGGGTGAATTGGTGATGCGTTTTGAGAACTCTAGTCTGGCAAAGAGCTGAAGATTGCTACCCAGAACAAATACAAGATGGAAGTTGTCTTCCCCCCCAGAATCCGTATGCTGCTGTGAACAAATGCTCTTTGCCGTCCGACTGGCTGAAAGATCACTCCACTGGCTAAGCACTTATTGCCTGATAAATATGCATGGTGGTGTGGCCTTTATAGCGCTATTCAGCTGTAACTATGCTGAAAGGGAAAAGACAGATAGGACTAATCAAGAAATACGATAAGCTCCGATACTATTATTTTTTTAAAGTATTTTTTTCCATTCACAGCAACCAGGCTTGCTGAGTTTCTCTTGCAGTTTTTTCTTTAAAGTATCTTTGCCGAGTTCCAGTTACTTGTTTAACTCTCTCCTCTCTCTTTTTAAATCGCCCCCATTCTCTGTTGGGGTGGAAGCACCGATTTCAGTCCTTGAGAGAGAACCTCTTGGATACTCGCTCAGCGGCCAGACCTAATGCTCCAGCAGTTGCTAACAAAGCACCCTGCAAAACAAATAAGCAGTGTGCAACATAGAAAGGAGCTTGTCTCGCACTGGGAACTCAAGTCCCATGCACTGGCTAAACAGTGTCTCCTTGTTACCTCCACTTAGGCGCTCAGCATCCAGTTTCTTGTCTTAACTAAATTAACAAACTTTTTATTGTTTTGAATGTTCATAATAACAAGGGGGGGTGATTTCAGCCTTTTCATGCTGCTTGATGTGGCTTAATTTCAGTTTTTCATTTGCGAAGTTGCTGGTATTCGGTGATAGCTGCAAAGATTCAGTTGCCCTGTGCCCAACGGGGTGTCAAACTGTTTGTTGAATAAGGCATTGTCTCTGGCTCCCCGTGGGGATTATATGCATGATTTATCTTGTCAGTAGAAAGGGAATCTGCTTGCCCATGTTTGAATTCCGTGCTCTGGCTGGTGTGCTGTAGCGCTGGCCAGGAACCACATAGATTGTGTATGTTTCCCTGTGAATCTCGGGTTTAAAACTGCCCCCGTGTTGTGTGTTTAAGGAAAAATCCATACCCCAAACTTGAAAGTGATCCAAGCCAAGTGCTCGTTATTAACTAACTCCCTGAAACACTGCATCTGAGGCAGGCGGGCAAAATGTTTTAGTAAGAAACTTCGGGTAACTATCCTGTTGGTTCCATTCTACAGGAAGCTAATGAAACTAATAACTTTCGAGGCAATAAGATAGTTCTCTTATCCTGAAAACTGCATGGCTGAAGACCTAAAGTGTTACAGTACAGCGTGTGGGCCAATAAAATGTTTAGCTGGATAGCTTGAAGTACCTAGCCTGGTACTCTTTTTGTGTGTCACCAAACTGATCTTCCGTCTTGTCACATTCCCATGGGGGGATTTCTGTAAGCAGGGGAGTCCTCTTGCTTGTTCTGTCTTCCTGTAAAAGAAACTGGAATAACTCACTAGCAGGATTCCGCATGGAAGGGCCTAACTCTTCTTTCCAGCAGCATTCTTTTGTTCGCAAAATGTTACTCTAATTCATTTTGTACATTGCTTCATTTCAAAGTGATAACTGAGGTTGGAAAAGGCCCAGAGAAGGGTAACGAAGATGGATTAGGAGAGGATTTTCCTAGAACTAGATATCGCAAAAACCTAGAGTTATTTAGTGTAGAAAGTAGCTTAGAGAGAATTTTCAGACTCGGGATTTTGATGGAAGCTGTGGGATCCCTCCAGTGGCAGGAGGAATTGCTCTAATGTTAAGGGCAGATAAATTTAGAACAAATAAAAGGAAATGCTTCTTCCCTCACAGCACGTGAAATAGCTGCAGGGAATCTTGGATAATGTTGATGACTAATGTTTGTAATTCCTGCACGTATGCAAAGATAAGAGTAATTGAATCTCATGCTCCTGGCCACACGCTTATCACCACAGAGGTTCGGAAGCAATCTTTCCACCATGTGCAGCCCTGCACAGTTAGTTGGGTGCGTAGTGGGATTTTTGCCTTCTCTGAAGCATTGGGGTATTGTCCTCAGGCAGAGGCAGGATATCTGCTTGAATCTAGTATGGCAAATGTTCTACTTGTTTAAGGAACATCTAGAAGACTGTTAAAGACTGGCTCTTATCCTGAAAGGACCATAATTGCCAAAGTAAGCCAGGGTTAAAGATTTGGACTCTGGTTTCCTGACATGAATGGGGGGGGAAAAACAAAACACTTCTACTAAAAATGCTATTCCTTATTTTAGTATGTGATTCACCATTCAATTATACTCCTCCCATTCAGAAAGACAGTCATGATTCTTAAATGAGGCCTCTCCATTCCCACCCAAATGTCAGTGGAATTAGGGAAGGATTGAATTGGGCAGCCCACGCCTTTTCTGAATGAGCCCTCTGTGCAGCTCCATAAAACAGTGACCTTCTCAAACTGGACATGAAATGTCTGACTTAAGGGCAGGTGATCTCTATTGGGCATCTTAGTGCCAGGGCAGGTCAGTGAGGTTATTATTGGCTCTAATTAGCCCTGCCACCTGCCGCACAATGCCACTTGAACACTGCAGAATCTTTTGTGGTCTTAAATGTCTGAAGAATCGCATCCAGTCCGATTCCTGACACTGACAGCCCAGCTGATTGGCCCAAGCAAGGGGCAAACACATCACTACCAATATAGATTGCCTTTAGGAAAAAGACATTGCTGATTTCTTCCCTTATTAACTCAGATCCCTTCTTTAAAATACTCTTCCAAGAGCCTTTCGGTCTTCCCACCCCCCACCCCACCAGCTTTCTCTAAGAGGAAAATTTCACTACCAAAAGCTTTGCCTTTTAACTCTCTCACTGTATGTTTAGGCTGTTGTGTCTCAAGATTAGAACTTGGGTCTAGAGGTGCTGAGCACCTACAATTCTGCTTGAAGTTGACCATTCTCAGAATTGGACTGTTAGCTCCATGGGGAGGGACCCTGCTGTCATATTGGTACAGCTCAATGTGTGTTAATGTGCAAGTGACTCTCCGTTTCTGTAGACCAGCAATCACAAGTGGGGAACAGTCAAACCAGTTTCTCAGGCTCCGTTTCCTGCGCTCAATTTTTGCGGTATGAAAAGACCATTTCTCTCTCTGATGTCCGTCCTTAACTTTTTTTCCCCTGACTTCTATATCTTCAGTGAACGTTGTGGAAGCTCTTCAGGAGTTCTGGCAGATGAAGCAGTCACGCGGTGCTGATCTGAAAAACGGAGCCCTGGTGGTGTATGAGATGGTCCCTTCCAACAGCCCCCCTTATGTCTGCTATGTCACCTTGCCTGGGGGGAGCTGCTTTGGCAGCTTCCAGGTAGGACCACATGGCTACAGAGACTTGAGTGGTTCTAGCTACAGAGCTCATTCTCTATAGAACTGGCTGAGGGGAGTCCATCAATTCCCTCAAGTCCCCATTCTAATGGAATCAAATTCCTCGCTGTGAGGGGTGGGTGCTGGAGATTTTCTGGGAGCCCCAAAACACAGATGGATCCGGACCCATAGTAGAGGGATAAATCCAACCCAACTTAGTTCTACATGGTAAGTGCAGTGGTTGTCTTTAGCTTGAGATTTGCTTTAGCTACGTTACCCCAGGATTACATACTCACTGCAGGGAATTAATAGGGATTCTGCAAATAGTGAGGTTGCATACCTGGCATCTAAGGCAATTGGCAAGTGTTAGCATAACTGTTGTATAGCAATATTTGCCTTATGTTAAATGCCTTATTCTTCACAGGGTTAAGTAGTTGAGTACGGTTACAGTGTGAATTCTAGAGACCATGAACTTCAGTAGAGTTTCAATCCCTAATACAGCTCTGAATTCGACCCAGTGTCTCTTCCCAAGATGCTCAGAAAAGTTTGGCAGCCAAACTAATAAGGCTTGATCAATAGCCGCTGCCTTTCCTTTGTTGCAAAGGAAAAGGTCCAATCCAAATACTTAACCAGAAAGATTAAAGTCCAAAAATCACACAGGGTCCTGATTGCATTTCGGATTCCTTTCCTGCAGTGGCTTAAGGCAGAGTTATGCTCTAGTCTTGGTTTGAAGAAGGCATCCAAAAGAAACAATTCCAGCAGCTGAGCTGCCTCCCCATCCTGCAGCGTAGCCCTCGTGTTTAGAGAAGGCTGGCTGTGTTTTGGTTTTAAGATAATTAATTTTGTTGGCAATCCAGTTGGTGGTATTTCCATGTCCACATAGTATGTGCTGACTTCAACTTCCAGTTTAATTTTTTGCATTCAGTATGGCTGGGCTTGCTGTGGTTTAAAACACACTCCTAATGACTTCAGGATGTCTGAGAAAATAGCTATCCAGCACTCCACAACAACTGCCACTTAACAGCCATTTCGTATATGCGGGGAGAACTTTGGAGTGTGTCGGCCTTAACTGATCTCAGCCGTCTCTGCTTTTCTGTCCTGATGGCATGTACGTCTGTCCCCAGTTCTGTCCGACCAAGGCTGAAGCCAGGAGGAGCGCTGCGAAGATTGCACTAATGAATTCTGTCTTTAACGAGCACCCCTCCCGGAGGATCACAGATGAGTTCATTGAGAAGAGTGTCTCGGAAGCCTTGGCATCTTTCAACGTAAGGGCTTTGAATGTCTTGACTGTTGCAGTTGATAGGGACAGACTGGTTGGAAAATCTCATAAATCTATGGGAAGGGAAATTTCTTTTGCATCTGGAAACCCTTATGGCAGGTTTTCCAGTGATTCTTGGAATGATACAGAAATACTAAAAATAAAAATAAACTATTACTCTAATTCTTGTTTTCTCTCAAACTGTTCCCTTCCTGGATTCAAACTCCCTTCTCCATCTATCCTCTCAGCCCTGCGCTTGGAGTTAAAGCTGCACCCAGTTAGATCAGCAGACTTACTTTGGACTGGTGTATCGGAGAGCACCATTTAGCCCTTAATGTTTTCAGCATTCCCACTGTTGAGGGCCTGTTAACTCCAAACTTATTCCACTTCCAGGAGAAGCACTTCACACCCTTTCCTACAATTCTGGCCAAGTTTCTTTTAAATATAAAAATGTCTGTCTTGTATAGAACTGCTTTTATGTGAGCTAAAATGAAAGACTGGCTTACTCAATGCCTGCCCATGTCTGGTACTACCAGTAACCCGAAAGGTTGGCTAGCTAGTCTCTCTTATTTTTCTTCTGCAGAAGATAAAGGTGTATAATAACTTGCTGGAGTATAGTGGGTTCCATGTGGTATTACTTGGAATGCCTGCAAGATGGGATTGTCAAAGGATCCTAAGGGAACGAGGCACCAGCTCCATTGACTTTCAAGGGGATTTGTGCTCTAAATCGCTTAGAGCTTTTGAAAATCTTCCCCTAATTCATGGTAATAGGGCTTGATGACACAAAAGTGGAGCATGTGATTTAAAAACAGGAGCATTTTATTACATGGTGACTTCTCTGCCGTAGATGTTACAATCAACGTAAGGTTGCCACCTATCTGGGATCCTGTGTACTTTTATAGGGATAGCCTCTGAAAAACAAGACTAATTAGGCCAGAAAGCATCAAAAAAAAGTTTCTCTACCGGCATGGGGGTGGGGGGATATTGTTAGGACTTTACAAGGCACTGCCCCCTCCAAAATGTAACCAATAACTGCACCTTGCTGTTTCAAAAAAGGTGTCTGACTTCCTGGTGCTCACCGGGCCTGGAGCAAGATCAACTCCATTCCATTACTGAGCCTGCAATGTTCAAGCCTGATGAACTCTTGGGGTGTGGAGCTTCTCTGATCAGCCTGTTATTTTGTGCAGCCTCGTTATTTAAGCCAGATGCATTACAGAGCCGTACCTGTTTAAATCCTTGGTGGTAGGCATGTTAAACTTCCTAGTGCCAAAATCATACTTTGTCAGAATGAGTTTTTACTGTGCATTCAGACAGCACCCAATGGAACCCAAACTACTCTGTGAACCGTGAAACAATCTTACAATCCTAAATGCTACCGAAAGATAGCATCTGATCATAGAAATGTAGCGCTGGAAGGGACTTCGAAGTCAAATTCAGTCCCCTGTCTTGTGCCAAGAGCATGAAACAGTTTGCATTGAAATCATGGTCAAAATTTGCATAGATCCTATGAGGTGGCTGGCTAATATGCTAGTCAACAAGTACAAGATACAACAGGCATGTAAAGTGTGACCTCTAAGACCTGTTACCTCATCAACTACTGAAACTAGGAAAATACTGCTGTGTATCTCTTGGAAAGCTGGTATTGCCGGACTTCAGTGATGATCCTGGTGGTCCAAAAGACATTGAAATGGTCACTGGTCCCTCACACTAGATCAACTTGGAGGCTTTTAAGAACTGGTTGGACAAACACCTATTAGGGATGGTCTAGGTCTACTTAATCCTGCCTCAGCACAAGGGAATGGAGTAAATGGCCTCTTGAGGTCTCTTCCAGCCCTACATTTCTATGATTCATGGAAAATATAAGCCATCATAGTTCACACAGAAGTCTGTGGAAGTATGCATGAGGAAATCTGCCCAGAGCATCAGGTCACAGATATTATATTTTCTGGCTGTTCCAAGCTTCCTTGCTCAAATCTCAGGTTTCCTGTTAAAAGCAACAGAGAGTCCTGTGGCACCTTTAAGACTAACAGATGTATTGGAGCATAAGCTTTCGTGGGTGAATGCCCACTTCCTGTTGTCCACCTGAATCCAGTTAATTCCAAAGCACCTCTGAGCACTCCTCATCTAGATATGGCTGCTGTAAAGATCATCCTGTTTCTCCAAGATGGAGACAAGTCATTGGCTTTTGTCTTGTCCCGATCGCTTCTGTCCTGGGACGTCTCCGAGCAAGAGCACACTGTTTACTGGGAGTTGGAGGAATTCAAAATCTCTTCCATGTTTGTAGAATCTGTGAAACATTCAAGGTGGTTAAAGTTTGCCTCATCAGAGTACAAACAAACAAAGTCTGTGGAGCCTGAAAATGTCTGACTAATAGCAGCAGAGCCATGTGGGAACACTGCTTAGCAGCGTGCCAGTTGTATGGTTGCCTTTTTCTGTTTAGGGGTTGTAATTCTTTAATATTACTCTTTGCTGCAGGGTAATCGAGAAGAAGCCGATAACCCGAACACTGGAATTGGTGCTTTCCGTTTCATGCTGGAATCCAACAAGGGAAAATCAATGTTAGAGTTTCAGGTACTATCCATAACTTGATTCCCTGCTCCAGTCTTGATTAAAGTAGTTTTTTTAAATCTTCTAGTCACATCATTCAGTGCTACAGAATGTACCAGGCCTGTGCATTCAGAAAGCACGTGCTGCTATGGCTTTTGTGTTGCTATACCCTTAGTGCTAGATAGGAGCTCCAGCCACAGAATCCAGACCAGGGTTTTTCAAGCCTTCCAAAGTTCAACAATATCTGGATTGTGCAGGGTTCTGTTTTGGGCGCCCCTCTGATTAAAACAGCTCTTGAGACGCTCACATAGACCAGGATTGTGGAAGGGGTTGTGCATGCTTCATGTGCAATGCCTTCAGTATTGGAATATATTGGTAATGCAAGAAGCAACGTGGTCTAGTGGTTAGAGGACTAGGAGTTCTGGGTTCTATTCCCAACTCTTCCACTGATTGGCTGAGACACCTTGGGCAAGTCGTTTCGCCTGTTGTCATTTTCCCCTCTCTGAAGATAAATGGGCTAGCTATTTCCATTTTAAAGCATCTGAAGGTATTTGGATGAAAGGCACTATGTAAGTGTATAGAATTAGGCATACTGAAGTCTTGACATCATTGAGATCATCTTAGTTGGTTACCTGGGGTACGTCTGCACTGGCAGATGTAATCTCCAGCTCAGGTAGATATGTGCGTGCTAGCTTTGATCGCGTCAGCATGCTAAGAATAGCAATGCAGCCAATACGTCTGTTAGTCTATAAGGTGCCACGGGACTCTTTGTCGCTTTTTACAGATCCAGACTAACACGGCTACCCCTCTGATACAGTGTAGCCACAGTGGCACTGGTTGGTCAGGCTAGCCGCCGGAGTACGTACCTAGGGTCTCTGTCGGGACTGTAGCTTGTCCCTCTGTCGTGGCTACACTGCTATGTGCTAGCTCAATCAGAGCTAGTATAATGTACATCGCTTGAACTGGGAATTACATCTCCAGCTCCAGTGTAGACATCGCCTCACCTCATAGTTACACCTTTAATCAGTGTAGACGATGCTTTGGGAGCCACGGCTTTTCTGGGGTTTATTCCCTGCCATTGGGAGGGAGTCTTGTCCAATGGCTAGAGCAGTGAGCACACAGAATTGGGACTCTGTTCCCAATTCTGCATCTGACTTGCTGCCACATCTTTCTGCGTGTTCCCTTCTCTGTTTGATGGGGCCATCTACCTCTCGGGTATTCTGAGGTTTAATTGTTTTTTCAAGTGCTTTGAGATCCTTGGAGGAAAGGCCCTTTATGGAAGTACAGATATTACTGTCACTGGAAACTTGAAACAGGGACTTTACACACTCCCCACGAGTAGCTGATTTATCCGGATTCAGGAATTTGATTCTCAGAAGGGGAGAAATAGACCCTACTTTCAGTTGCCAGATGCTCAAAGGAGCTTGGCAGCTTCATGCATATAGGCAGGCGCCTTAAACTCGTAACTTAGTTTTTTATTTGGAACTCTCTGCTCTAGGCAAACTTTCCTGACACTGACTTTTTGCCCTGCTGCTCTCCCTTGAATGGTAACATTCTGTAGGCGGAGGCTAAGTGTTTATATTAATAGCCCTGTTTACACAAACTGACGCCACATCCTGTATATTCCTCTGGCGGCATTGTCTGTGGGAAGCCTGGCTTTCTGTGGGAGTTTATGGAATGGGGTTTGTGCGGCCACCAGAGAAACGTTTGCCCGGTTTCCGTTACAACCAAGCTCTGCACTGTCACCGACCAGCGTCTGGTGCAATAGCTCTGGGGATGAAAAGGGCAGAGGGAAGCACCAACAGAGGATGTTACGGCACAAGAGGTATCATAAAGATTCAGCAGTCTGAAGGATCTTTCCCATCCCATCATTGGTAGTGGTCTTCTGTCTAGCTATGCAAGGCATGGGCAGCGCCCTTGGCTGATGGATCAGCCTATACAATAACATATGTCCTTTTAAATAGTTGTTCCATGAATGGCCCTTTTCATCTCTCTGTACTGTAGGACTTTATCAGCATGGCCTCAACTTTAAGTAAGCCTGCTGTGATCACGAATTTATTTATATTGCAATAGTGCTGAAGGGCCCTGTCAGTCTAGAGTCCTCCGTGGTAGGTACTGTGCAAACCCATAACACGGTCCCTGCCCTGTGAAGCTGATCATCTAAGTAGCAGTAATGGCTTCTAGCCTGTTCCGCTCAAGGAGTTCAAAGCACTTCACAAACTTTTCCTGAAGCTTCAGCTCCCTGTGAGGTGGTTAACTTACGGGTGAGGGAAAAGATCTAGCAAGACGAAGCCACTTGCCCGGGATTGCAGATAAGGGAATAGAACCGGTCTGTAAATGCCACATGGTGAGCTGGAAATATAACCCTGGAGTCCTGGCTCCCAGTCGTCTGCTCTAACCACTACGCCCTCCCTGCTGCCGGCTGAGTAACTAGATGGGCAAAACTGTAAGTGGAAGGAAGGACTAATTCACTCCTGTGTATCTTCCCCACCTAAGTCTGTCTTTTAATAATAGTCTGCACCTCTTACCGGCTGTAGCCCTAGCACTTCTTAGCAGCTGATCTCTAAGCACTTTACAGAGGAGGTCAGTATCATTATCCTTATTTTAGAGGGGGAAACTGAGGCACCAGGAGGTGAAGTGACTTGTTCAAGGTCACAGTAGGTCTCCTGTGTCCCTTCCCACTAGGGAACACTGCCTCCTGAGGGCTCTATGGCACAGAAAGCAGGCTTTCAGCTGTGTGCTAGAGAAGCATTTTGCCTGTGTACATTGCTACCCTTCCCTTGATTCGCCAGTTCCTTCTGTTGACACTCTTGCCCTTCAAAGCTAACTGCCATTTGCCCTTGCAGGAGCTGATGACCGTCTTCCAGCTGTTGCATTGGAATGGCAGCCTCAAAGCCATGCGAGAGAGGCAGTGCTCACGGCAGGTAAGGCTGGCCTGGGCACTGGCTGAGTGCCGCTTTGGCAGCAGTACCGCAGATGCCTAAGGGATTCTTGGACCTTTTGCTGCGGTGCTCATCCAGACCCGTCATTCATTTCCCATCCTGCTGTCGTGTGCAACTGAGCCAGATGCTACCAGCCAATGCGCGTGTTCTTAGTGACTCGCCATTCATAAGCTCCCGTCCTATTTCTTCCCACTAGGAGGTGCTGGCTCACTATTCGCACCGTGCTCTGGATGACGACATAAGAAACCAGATGGCCATGGACTGGGTGAACAGGGAGCAGGGCACCCCAGGAGCCCTTTCCAGAGAGCTGTCCTCGACAGAGAGGGAGCTGGATGAAGCCCGACTGGCTGGGAAAGAGCTGCGTTTCCACAAGGAGAAGAAAGACATCCTGATGCTGGCGGCTGGCCAGCTGGGGAGCATGCACTCCTCCAACTGCTAGACTCTGCACGCAAACTGTTCAGCTTCCCCATGCCGACTAACAATTCCACATTGAAGGGATCTGTACCGTATCACTTCGGGCATATAGCTGCCTCTTTTTCCAGAGTCGTGGCCCATTTGCACATTTTTTTAAAGATGTTTTTAAAAGTTTCTGTACAGATTTTTACACTTAGTACTTAGCCTTTAGGTTACTTTTCAGCTTTCTATCTGCTAAAGAATTCCTTCTCTTTAAAAGTGCATTTAAAAAAAAAAAATGCAGCCTTTCAGTGTTAACACTACTCTAAAGACCTCCGTTCAACCCAGGTACTGTACAGATGACCGTATTCAATGGAAATGTAGCATTTCCCCAGGGAGATCTGGATTTGAAGAGATCCAGATGGCATGTTACGCAAAACTGCCTTTCCTTCTGCTTTTGCAGTCTGAGGGGTTTGGTCAAACCCCTCTTTTTGAAAAGCACAGCGTTTAGCAATATGTTCTGCTCCTTTGTACTAGAATCCGTGCTCCAATGGAGAGCACCTCAAAGCACATGCATGGAGTTTCGGATCTGAGATTTTGATTTGCTCCAGTATAGAAATATGGGGTCAGTCTGCAAAATTGCCATCTGCATCTGAGATCAGATTTAAAACTCCACAAAGTGTGACAGGATGGGATGTTTGGATCTGTTTTTAGCTTCGATCTTTTCTCTCTTGTACAGAAAGAGAGTCAGCTGGTGACGTGTTCAAACTGCTTCCTTAATACCAAATTACAAGACTCTGGGGGTTAAGGGATTGGCTTTGGTATTAAGGAATTGGGCTCAGCTTTTTAATTACGTCTGTACTAGAGAGAGCTCTGCAATCCCCCCTCTTGAATCCCCTTTGAACTTTTATGGGATTTGACCCTAGCCCTGCAGGAGCGGATGAGCTTGGAATGGGCTGACTAGTAGGTGGTGCTATGAAGTGGACAGTACACTTTCCTAGAAGTCAAGCATCTTCATAAGTTACTTAGTCTCACCTCGCCTGGGCTGGGGACACCAGAGTTCTGAGGCTATCCTACCGCTGTTTGGTGTCATGCTATTGTCTCCATGCTAGCAACCTGGCTTTGGGTTGCTTTTGAACACAATGTCGGACTAAACCTTTTTCAGGAAGACCTAATAAACACTTGCCAGATATTTAGAACTGGCTAAAGGAAACGTTGGGGGAACTGATCCAGGTGTATCACCAAAGGCCCTGTGTTTACTACCTTGTTGACCAGAACTGTATTAACCTCTTGAAGCAGAATCTGGATCCAGCTGGTCCCCAGCAGTGGAAGGTCAGATCTGGATCCAAACCCTATGGTTCAGCCTCAGCTACACTTGGTTTCTTTTGGCCGGCGTAGAGAGGTCTGAACCAAGTTCTAAACAGGGCTGCACCTAGTCTATAGCACACTAACTTGTTTATAATGGGGGGAGGGATAGCTCAGTGGTTTGAGCATTGGCCTACTAAACCCAGGGTTGTGAGTTCAGTTCTTGAGGGGGCCACTTAGGGATCTGGGGCAAAATCAGTACTTGGTCCTGCTAGTGAAGGCAGGGGGCTGGACTTGATGACCTTTCAAGGTCCCTTCCAGTTCTAGGAGATGGGATATCTCCATTAATTTAATTTATAATATGGGTCAGATCTGTCTTGAGGATGCCAAGAACAGTCTCCCTACATGGTTTTACTCCCTAAAAGGTTTAGATTACCCATGCAAAATAGATAATAGTAGGCTGCAAAGGGCTGCATTTACTCTCCACTTTGGAACTTGCTCTGTTTGTTATCGTGTTGATTCCTGAAATGTAAATCTATATCTGCACTATTTTTTTAAACGGATAGAGCCCCACACTTAGTATAAATACTAGCCCTGTAGTACAAGTAGCTTAAAAGCATCCTTTCAAATACCCAGATGTGTCTATCGTTCAGATTTATAGCAGAAAGGGGGGAAATTGCTGGCTGCAGAATAGCAGCACAAAAGGGAAACCCAATCAAGAGACGACAAACTGCATTCCCAACTCCTCTCTGGGGTCTGCTTATCCCCGGGATTGACACTGAGCTTTCCTAACAGGCTAGGCACTCCGTTGCGAACTGTTTCTTAGTTACCTAACTGCCCGAAGAGAGTTGAAAGAAATCTCCGGGGGTTTATCCATTCTGCCCAAGTAGAAGCCTCATGTTCAGAAATAGTTCGTGGATGTCTATGTCGTGGACAGAAAAACTGCAGCTTTGTGGAGATGGGGGCAGTTGTGGGCACTGTTTTAATCAGGCCATATTTACTGAAGATGTAATCAAAGCACAACCATAGAACTGTTTGATTGTTGGCTTCTACACAGTTAGGGGGGCAGGGGAAGGAAGGGGTTAACAACACCTGGGGCACCCCTTACTACTTATTGGCCCTCAAATGATTCCAGTCTGCTAAATTCTCCTGTGCACATAGATGCCACTACAATGCAAGCCAGGGATTAATTGCTCTGGTTCCAACTGAAAACATTTCACTGCTTGCACCAGGGGAAAAATGGGAAGTCATTCCAGCCCAGACCATCCAAGTCCCTGGATTTCTGATCTTTGTGCATCTCCGGGACAAATCTAATGGGCATTAGGGAGCCCATATTTCATATTTTGCTGTGGGGCCTTAGCCCAAACTTGCACTTTGATCAAAGATCCAGATCCGTTTGGTTCTGCTGAGTTAGAACAGAATATTAATGCTCAAAAAGCAAAATCGTAGCTTCTAATATTCCCAATAGGAAGTCATACTCTAGTGTTTCCGGTTTACGGCAATAACTAATCTCTCAGATCATAACTACCAAACCTTTTTACCTTTTATCTAGTGACTTGTCGATTTTGTAAGCCTGCTGTGCAAGGCATTTGTTTGAAAGGATGTGGGACTCTTTAATCTCATCTCCTGCTTTGTGGGGTTTGCTAGTGTCTGATTAGTTTTGTAAAGGAAAAGTTACAGTATTGGGCTCCCTCCATTAATAGCAAATCTGAATCTCTTTTTGTGGTGACATAAATGGCACGGGGATTGATGGAGTAGGAAGCCATGGTACAGAAAGTATCTGTCAGCTACGCCCACACTGTAATGGGACCAGTTTTAAGCTTGCTCGTAGGTCAGTCATCCAAGGCCGTTGTCATAGACTCTTCCTTTACAAAGTAGGGGGAAAACGAATGTTTTGTAAAACAGCCACGTGGTACATTTTCTGTACTGTTTGATTTGCAACATGTAGTGTGCAATGCAATAGATTTGCTTGTAATTCAAACGAGATGTCAATCACGATCTCTTGGCTTTTCCTCTAATCAGCATTGAAGAGGTAGGAGGCCTCAGGCGGTGGGGAAGAAGGGGGGTAACAGTTGAGCACTTTGTACAGTATTTCGTATTCTCCGTTCACTAGTGTAGTTCAGGTTAAATAGCCAGCTAGAGCACGTCTCCTAGACAGTGCAGTCTAATAAAGCAATGATTTGCTGGTGCACAAAATAATCTTCCTCATAACACTTTAAAGCCTTTTCAGTGTATAATCCAGAAGAGCTGATGGGATCTCTTGTGGGATCTTGAGTCAAAGGCTGTCTTTTTTTTTAAAAAAAAAAAAAAAAAAAAAAAGTATTCTACCACTTTGGGATCCTTGTGGATCTCTTCTCACGTTGGCTCTTGGTGTCTCACTAATTGAGACTAGTCTCTGAGGTCCCACTCCGAGAGCAGGAGCCTGCCACAGTTTTTGGTATCTCCACAGAGATCACCTCTCAACCCCACTCCATCTTTCTAAAGAAGCCTCTTGCGGAGGATGTTTCAACTAGTAGCATGTGGATATTGAAGCAATGTTATCACAAGAGGGAGATCAAGAAGCAACTGCATTATTCTTCGGCCTTCTAGTGTTGTATTCCAGTCCTAACAAGCCTATGTCTGATGGTTTTTATATGTGTATATATATTTTTATATGCAGCCTTTTTACCTGATAGTATTAATGTTTAATGCATTTATAAACTTGTTTTGTAAATGGTATTTTTAGTTCTTGGGTTTTGTTTTTTGGTTTTCAGGTTGGTTTCTTGGTTTCTGGACCGTTACTAAGACACTTAATAATTTCCTTTCTCTAGAAACAGCACGGAGTCTTAACTTTCTGCGAACATTTCCACTTGTGGGTAGCGTTAAAATAAATCATGTGACACTGACTTGTCTAAGGATCTAATCCTGCAGATGCTTAAGACCTTGAGTACCGTCACATGAGAGAGGTGGCGTTCACAGCATTGGAACCTGAAGTGTGTATCTCCAGAAATGTTACTTACAGTTTCTTCTTTATTTTAAGGCCATCTATACGTAAAATGCTATAGCGGCAGCGCTTCAGTAGACACTTATTACAACGATGGGAGGGGTACTCCCATTCTGTAGGTAATCCACCTCCCTGAGCGGCAGTAGCTAGGTTGACGGAAGTATTTTTCTGTCAACCTCCCGGTGTCTACACCAGGGGTTAGGCTGGCTTAACTACATCACTCAGGGGTGTGGGTTTTTCACACCCCTTACATGTAGTGATGTTGATCTAATTTTCCAGTGCAGAGCAGCCCACAATCAAATTACTTTTTGAATTATGGACCAGATTGTACCACTTTGGCAGAGCAAGGGGGCCGAATCTAGCCCTAACTGAGAATTAACCTGTCATGGGGAAGTTCTCACTTAGCCAGCTCTTGTGCTGACTGGCCACCACACTCCTTGTCCTGGTGCTGGGGTCAGGGTGGAGTGCAGTTGCGTATAATCCATAAAGACCTGGGCCAATAGACATAAATTAGAGCAGCCCCATAGCTGCTCTAATGTGTCAACGGGCCAGAGCTGGTACAATTCCTCCATGATTCTCATGGAGGCATAAGATGCTCCCTGAGTCGGACACCTTCCTTCCACATTGTTTGGTGCAGGGCAGAGTCTGGGCCCAGGGCCGATTCAGCCGATTTGGCTGAATTGGGCCCCGTGCTAAGAGGGCCCCGCGCCGCAGCTCTCCATCCCGCCCTCAGCTCACTTCCCCCTCCTCCCCTCCCCTGAATGCTCCGCCCCCTGCTCCTCCCCCTCCCCTGCTTCCCGCGAATCAGAGGTTCGCGGGAAGTCTGAAAAGAAGCAGGGGCGGGCAGGCAGCACCAGGTAAGCTGGGGTGGCGGGGGGGGGGGGCGCTCTGGCTCGGCCCCGGCCCGGCCCCCGCGGCGCGGCTCCAGGCCGAACCCAAGCCCGGCAACCCCGGCCGGAGCGCGGCTCGATTCCTGGGGGCGGGGCTTGCAGCAAGCCCCTCCCCCCCCAGGAATCGGGCCCCGCTCTTGCTAAAGCCGGCCCTGTCTGGGCCTAGACCTCAGTTCATCCATGTTGGACTTTAAAAATAAAATAAATTGGCTAATCTGAATTTGTATTAACCCTACTGCTGACACAGGGTGGTGCTGCAGAAGTCAAATTGCATTAGAAATTTCCTCACTTATCCAAACATAGGCTGCGTTCCCTGTGACAGCTGAATAATCAAACTCTTCCCCTTCTGAAGTCTGGCACTTCAGCTCCCAGCAAGCACTGGAAGCTTCTTAGGGCCTGTCTGCTCCTCATTTCGGTGCTAATTACAGATCTTTTCAAGGTGTATTTATTTGCTTATGTGAGACCTTAATGGTTCTCCACTAAAACCGAAATGCTAACTCTATTCAATCATCAGCACAGTGTTATACTCGGAATAGTAAGGGATACGTTTCAGATGCTTTTTGGTGCCAAAAATGGCAGCAAACCTAAGCTTTGAAACAAAGGATTGAAACAAAACAACCTATTTGTCAGAGGGTGGAGATGGACGGCAGGAGAGAGATCACTTGATCATTGCCTGTTAGGTTCACTCCCTCGGGGGCACCTGGCATTGGCCACTGTCGGCAGATAGGGTACTGGGGTGGATGGACCCTTGGTCAGACCCAGTATGGCCGTTCTTATGTTCTTAACATAACCTTTTAAGGATTACATGGTTTCTGTGATCAAAGGCTATTTCTCTTTAATGGGACTTCTCTGCAGTAGGAGAGGCATATCACGACTTCACACACAGCAGTTTGTTTTAAAAGGATGATATGTTAGCGTATATCAGCCTTCTCCAATTCTATTAATCCATTCACACAGCGAATCTTTTTCCAGGCGAGTTAAACATCCCTAGTTTCCTTACCTGGGTTAAGGTTTGGAAAGGTCTGGGCAGGCTCTCAGACTTTCGTGACCGTTGTGGAGGTAGTTTTTTATATTTATATAATAAAATCTGTCTTTATAAGTAGAGCCACACCAGAGGATTTGCCTGTTTCTGCTAAGCTAGAACTCTGGCATCTCATTGTAGACACTCCAAGAACTGATGCAGAGCTATGGGACGTTGCCTCATGCCTTTTTCTACTGGGAAGAGGATTTCCTGGGCAGGACCCAGTTTAGCTTTATTATAAATAGCATCAAGTGTCTGTGAGTGTCTTTCCCGCGCCCCTGCCCCCACTTCTAATCACAAGTTGTCTTGAAACCTCTATCCCCCATGAGCTT